AACAGTCGCCGTGGCAAATTCTGGCTGAAGGCTATCAAGGCTTTCGGTATAAATGACGGACTCAGCTACAGAAGGTGTATCGACCACAAACTTTGAGCTGAATTTGGTACAGTCAACAGCAAAATTGTATTCACAAAAAAGCCGTTACCTCGCAAGCCTAGCACAAGCATTCAACTCTTCAACGACCCATGGCTCGAGTTGAAAGCAGTCGATATGAGAAGTAGACTTAGATCTCTGCATAAAACATTTGCATTTTCCTACAATCCATAGGTCCGCAAGTCTGCTCAGCAGCTCGCTCGTTCTGGACATTGAGCATCTGGGGAATACTCAAAAGCATGCTTAGGTTAATTGAGAATTCAACGGTAACTATATTGTTTCTGCGGTGCCAACATTTGGTGACTATATTTGCGCGTAAACAAATCTCTATGCTTGTAATGCTGGTAAAGTGCGCCGGCCAAACGATCACTCATATTTCCAAATTTTGGACCGTCCAGCAAATAGTTTACGCAGGAATATTGGTGGCAGATGTTGGCACCAGGGACCCTATATTGACCTTCAAATCTACTCAACTATGCATATCAAAGTTTCTTCACCAGAAATTTTGAAAGTTTAATGCATCAAAACAGTGAAACGATTCAAACACGACGAAAACCAAAAGCGAAAGCTGGAAGCAAAAAAAGTGCGCCCTCGTAGTTTCCATAGGGCATCGAAAGGCGCCTGGGCGTGGAGTGTGGATAGCGGTATGCATTTGGTATGCGACGAGCATCGCTTGTCTGACCATCTTCAGCCCTGGGCCGTCATTCCGGCTCCGACATCTTTCAGTCTTCCACGCGTGTGAGAGTGTGTCTGTCTATCTGTCTATTCTGTCACTGTGTATTGTTGTCACATATATAAAAAACACCCGAGCAGCTATAACAAATGGAAATTCAAAATGCATTTCAAATTCAATGGGACAAAACGCCGTACCAAGCTTTCACGGATTATTTTTTCGCGAAAATTCCGACACACGGCAGTAATCTGGCCATTGTGAGCTTATGTTTCCAACCTTTGAAAGCAACAGCGACTAAGAAAATCAACAATGCATCTATAGGTTGATGTTGACACCGGTAAACAGTGGCGATACTCAGAAATTCGCGGATGGTGCGACATGTGTAGCATGCGTCTCAGAGAACTTCAGGCAAGTTCTACTCCGGCTCAATCTATCGCCGAACTTTCATGACTACCAACACGTTTAGGTATCTCCTGCTAGCAGAGTAGCTGTCGTAACCGGAACAACTGGTATGCTGCTTTCATCTGTCCTGCAAATCTCAAACTTCGTTCATACCTCGCACAATTTCGTTCCCTACGATTCAGCATTGCTACAATTTTTCACGAATTTTCGTGAGCGCACTGTGCATAAGCAATACTTGATTGCTTGTGTTATTACGAAAATAATGCTCCCATTCTGAAACGATGCAAACATCTGGCAAAGCGCCAGACCGCGCTACGATTTAAAGGAATCGCTTGAGGTATGAATGACGCTTCAACGAAACTGCTTGAATTCAGGACAAGCTATTTTTGTTCATCTTGCTTGCGCTATGATTGGATGTACTGCAGTGGCTGTGAACGGTTGGGGCACAGTGGGTGAGCATCTACCTTAACCTTACCAAAAGCTTTCCACAAAAGGCACCCAAACCAGTTCAGACGAGATCTGGCAAGTTGTGGATTTAGCCGAGGCGACGCACTTAATTGTAGAATCACAATTCATGCAAAAGGTAAGATGCGAACGATTCAAAACTCAAACGAAGATTTGATGTCATGAAACTCTAGGCTGACGACGTTCGAAGAAAAGCTCAGATGAGAGGAGGAGGGCGAATCAAGCACGTACGAGCGATTGACGACGTTCTCACTACGGATGCGATCGAGGCAAAGAGGAGGTTTGAACGAATCAGAA